CCCCAACATCAGGCAGGAGCGGGGAGCAGTCCTTATCCATGATCCTAACAGTTGTGGGGAGGTCTCCACAGAGCAACTTCTGTGGGTGTTCCTGGGAGTCCTTCTCCGACGTGGAGGCAGGGCACAGCCCAAAAGAGAAGGTGCAGACAGCTGGGAAGAGACTTGACCGAAGCCCAGCACAGAACACTACTTCTCTTTCTGAGCATAGCCAGTCATCCTCGCTTCAGCCTCAGGATGCACATCTACAAACTCTCCCCACACTGTGTAGAATTCAGGTGCAGTTTTCCTTGACTTTGCTCCCAGAACAGAGATAAGGAGAAATTCGGTGCCTCCCTTCATTCCAAACCTCCAGGGACCAAGGGCAGGAGCCTCCCAATGACTGACTCCCTCTAGACTGGAGACCAAGGTCTACAGTCCTGAGTCTGTCTCAGGGACTCCCTCCCTTGTGCCCCAGGGAGTAGCAACAGGGAGTGCTGTAGCTGCCTGTCTGTCTAACCTTAGTGCTTTGGTCTCTGTTCTTTTTTTTTGAATTTCATACATAAAATCATCTTTATACTCCCCGTTCCCCTTCCCCTTTGGCACCCTCCCATAGCTCCTCCCACACACATTGCAGTTCATACATTCTGTCATTTGCGTTAAGGCCTATTATGTAGAGTTAGTCTCTGGAGATGTCTCTCAGTGCAAGTTCATCCACTGGGGTTTAGTCAGCCTATCTAGTCTCTCCCTTTGTGAAGATCAGCTCTTCCTCACCCAGCAGTAATCAGCTGCCAATAATTCTTCGACTAAGTTTGGGACTTGCTGTTCATTTCCACAGTTCTGTGCTGCGTATGCTGACACCATTGCTATATGAGAAGGGTCCCAGGCATCTGGCCTGTAGAACCATTTCCGTTTGGTCTCTGTTCTCTTGCAACAGACAAGAAGGTGGCATATCAAGTCTTTCTGCCCGAAGACTTTTTTTTTAATTTTTTTGGAGACAGGGTCTCCCAGTAGCCCCAGCTGGCTTGGAACTCACTACGTAGACCAGGCTGGCCTTAAACTCAGAGATCCACCTGCCTCTGAGTGCTGGGATTAAAGCCATGCACACTGTGCCTGACAAGACTTCTTTTTTTTTTTTTTTTTTTTTTTTTTTTTTTTTTAACAGGGTCTCCCTGTAGTCCCAGCTACCTGGAACTCACTATGTAGACCAGACTGGCCTCAAACTCACAGAGATCTGCCTGCCTCTGCCTCCCAAGTGCTGGGACTAAAGGCATGTGCCACCACACCCAGCAAGACTTTTTTTAAAGTCAGATCTCACTATGTAGTCTAGTGTGGCCTAAAATTCTCTATCTAGCACAGGCTGTTCTCATACTCAAGGTGCTTTTCCTGCCTGAACTTCCTGAGCGCTAGGATTACAGGTATGAGGCACCACACCTGGCTTGGATAATTTTTTTGAGTCTCAACTAATGGCCCATCTTTGGGGCAGAGATGTGCTGTTGGAGCGATCCATAGCACTGTGAAATAGTGGTGCAGGAATTGCAGTTTAATCATTTCTAGAAGGTAAAATACATAATCATGTGCTGAGTGTAGGGTGGGAAGGATGGGGAGGAGGGAAGAAAACGGGAGGGGGAATGAATGTTACTGTGCTGAAGGCCTGCTGAGAGAGGCCCCTGAGCACTTGCTCCTCTGCCCTCCTTTCACATTCCACACTCCACAGCCACAGCCTGACAGAGCTTCTGAGTAAGCCAAGTAAGGGCTCAGAGAAAAGAAGTAAATTGCTGGTGTGCTGGTGCATGGGCGACTAAAGAGCTAGAGGCTGAAGCAGAAGTAACACTTAAAGCTTATGAGTTCAAGATCGGCCTGACAACAAACATAGTGAGAACTTGTCAAAATGAAAAGGGACTGCAAGGTGGCATGGTGATAAGTATGTTTGCTTTGCAAGCACAAAGACCTGAGTTTAAATCCCCTGCACCCACGTAAAAAGCAGGGCGTGGCTGCAAGTGCCTGTAACCCCAGCATTCAAGAGGACAATAGAAGATGGGCAGATCCCTGGAGCTTCCTGGCTGGCCGCCTAGCTGACCCTGTGGGCTTCTGGTTCAGTAAGGACCCTGTCTTGAGACAGTAAGGTAGAGAGCAATAGAGGAAGACACCAAATCTGCTGTTCTTGCCTCTATATGTACATGCACAGGCACACATGGGGGTACATGCAAACACAAACACAGATACATATGCATGTACCACTCCCACACCACCACCATAAAGGGAAAGAATGAAAAAAGGATGTAAGGGGCTGAAGGTTTTCGGGACAGGGTCTCACAGTAGCCCCAGTTGGCCTAGGAACTCACTATGTAGACCCGGCTGGCCTTGAACTCACAGCTATCCACCTGCCTCTGCCTCCTGAGTGCTGGGATTAAAGGCATGTGACATGCCCAGCAAGAGTTTGTACTACTCTTGCAGAGAGCCAAAGTCAGGTTCCCAGCACCTGTATAAGGGAGCTCACAACTGTCTGTAACTCCAGCTCCACAGTATCAGGTGCCCTCTTCTGGCCTCTGTGGGTACCACACACTCACGTGCATACCCACACATACACATACATATACATAATTAAAAATAATCAATATAGGGGCTGGAGAGGTGGCTCAGTGGTTAAAAGCACTGGCTGCCCTTGCACAAGATCCAGGTTCAAGTCTCAGCACCCACATGGCGGCTAACACCCATCCATAACTTCAGTTACAGGGGATCTAATGCCTTCTTCTGTCCTCCTCTGGCACCGCATGATACAGGTGCACATGCAGACATATCACTCATACACATAGAATAAAAATAAATCAACCAAAAAATCCGTATAAGCCAGGTGTGGTGACACATGCCTTTAGTCCCAGCACTTGGAGGGCAGAAGCATAGCAAGATCCAGAACAACTGGGTCTACAGGGAGATCCTGTCTCAACCCCCCCTCCCAATTTTTTAAAGAAAGAATATAAGGAAAGGAAATATAAGAAAAGAAGGAAGAGGCTTGGATAAAAGGGAGGGATAATGTCCTAGGAGCAGGAGCAGACGGCAGAGAAACCAAAGGATCTGGAGGGTCATATTCCAAATTGTGAAATTTCAGAGGTGGAACTCTTCCAGAACAGATGGGTAGATGATTAGTTATTTATTTGAGATGAATGCTCTCAGGAACAGGGAGGTCAGCCAGGTGCAGTTGTGGTGGAATCCCCCTGAACAAATAAAGAAAATTGCAGCATGGTCTGAGCCTGAGTGCAGTGCACAGTTCTGACTGTCATGACATTGTAGCACACAGTACCCGATCAGGATCTGAGCTATCAGACATGGGAGACAAGGAAGCGGAACTGTAAAGGGCAATAAAAGGCTGGGGCTCTGCTTTTGAGGGCCGGTGCCCGCACATTTAACTGCTTCCTGCATAAAAGCATTGGGGTTTCAAACCAGTCTTGGTTACAGAGTCAGGTCCTTTTCCAATATTATATATATTAAATTTTATATGTATAGATGTGTAAAATAAAAATGAAAAACAAAAGCAGGGATGCCAAGGAAGAACTGTGAGGACGTTAGTCAGATTTGGCACCTGCAGAGCTAGCACTGGGACAATGGTGGGGCCAAAGACATTCAGAGCCCAAGCTCTCTTACAAACAAGGGATTAGGAGTCCAGGGTACGGCTGAGGCAAGGAGGAGAATAACAAATCAGTGTGGGTGCAGACCCATAGAAGCTCCTTCATACAGAGAAAGGAAAACATGTCTATACCAGTTTTGGTGGTAAATGCTCAGAATCCAGCATTAGAGACAGGCTGGAGGACTCCAGGAAGTTTTGGGCCAGCCTGGTCTATGAGGAGTTCCAGGCAGTAAGAACCTGTCAAAAAAAAAAAAAAGATACCTGGTGTGGTAGTGGTATCTTTTGCCTGTAATCCCAGCATTTGGGAAGCTCAGGTAGGAGGATCAGTGTGTGAGTTCAAGACCAGCCTGAGTTATATAACAAGACTCACCAAAGAGAGGAGACATGGGAAAAAAAAAAAAAGTGTGTCATGCCAGCTAAGGAGGAGGAAGCTTGTTCTCTTTGTAGCTGACTGGTTCTCTGTCCTGGAACACCACACAGTAGGTCTGATATGAAGTCTCAGGAGCCAAGGGCCCATCATTCATGGGAAAAGTGTTAACCTTAGGGTGGGAGTAAAAGCTTGGCCTGAGGAGGTTGAAGGGGACTAAGGCTGGTTGTACTTTGCTGCTTGAAGCTTAGGGCTGTTGCAGGCTGGGCAGTTTTCCTATGCAGAGGCAGCCACAGACTGTTCCCAGGGTTGGGGCTCTCTTCTTGCCCTGGCTTGTTTGTTTATAACAGTCTTGCTATATTGCCAAAGCTGGTCTCAAACTCAAGGCAATCCTCCCGTCTCAGCCTCTCTTCTGGAAGGAGGAAGCTGGTCTTCATGCCTTCCCTCTGAGCTTAGCACTTCTTTGGAACTCCACTTCTGAAAAAGAAGGGGAGAAGGCACTCCCTCATGGCAGAACAGACTGGTTAGCGCAGGGGGTGACACAGCTCAGGGGTTGCTGAGGGCTCCCAGCAGCATCTCTACGTCCTCAGTCCACCACCGTGGTCCCACCTGTCCCAGGAGCAAGGAGTGTGCCTTTACCTAAGCCCTGTGGAGTCAATATTTAGTAATACTTAGGCTCCTTGAGAATCATCTGAAGATCCAGGAAGCCGCTGTGACGCTATGAGTCTGTGGTCAGGGGAAAAGAAATGAGAAGGGGATTGAAAAAAAAAAAAATCAGAACCTGGTGGTGAATGCCTGGAATCCCAGCTACTCAGAAGCTGAGGCGGGAAGACTGACGACTGAACACAAAGCCCTTCTACCTTGTCTCAGCACCACCCACAGCCCATATAGAGCTGTGTAAGCTCAAACCCAGGAGGCACACAGAGGCGCCGCCCCAGACTCGTCGGCTGCACCAGATGTACTCTCTCAATCTCACTTGAGTTTGTCTTCACTTTTACCCTCTTCATTAAACATCAGAAAAGAGACAGATTACCCACTTCTCAGAAATTTTAATTTTATAAAAAGGCATCTTTATATCCATAAAATGATAATTTTTCAATTATAGAAATGTGTCATAAATTATACAGAATGTTCCTTAATTACAGCTCAATGCAACTTGATACTTTCCTCCCTCCCTAAAAAATGAGAGAGAACCAAAAAAATAATATATATAGCTGTATATATATATATATGTGTGTGTATTTATATAATATAGACAAACCAAATATGAAAAAAAAATCATTTCCTCTTTGGTATAAAAATCACTTTCCCCTTAAGAGACACACAAACAGACATGATATTGGGCTTGTAAACTGTGTGGCCGAAAGGGGTTTCCCTGTCAAGGGTCCCCGTTCCCCTACTCCCCACCCACCCAGCCTCAACTACACTGCAGGCCACCTCCAGCTCCTCTGAAGCTCCCACACAGAACATTTAGACTCTTGTACCCCACTCAGCTCAACACCATTCTTCATGTACCCGGCCCCTTACTCCTCAGCTACCAAACATGGGGAAAGGATTCTTCTGGAAGCTGACTAGGTAGCAACTAACTTGAGAAGTACCTTACTTAGGGAGCCAGGCTACGAAGTGGGTTCAACTGTGACATCCACATTTGGCCTGGCTGAACAGCTCCTCCCTGGGGCTGAGACTAGAGAGTGGGGGTGGGGGGCTTATTTACTGGGCCAAAGCAGCAGAAACCAGCTTCCCCTTTCAGTCCCTCAGGGACAGGTGCAGGACAGCACCAGATGAGGGAGAAAGGAAGTTGGAAGCAAGTATGCTAAGGAATTTGGGAATAAATTTAAAATTTAAGAAAACTACTTTTCCTCCCTCAGCACATTTCATCCTCAGCCTTAGCTCACTGAGAATGATGGGAACACTTTTCTGAGCTCCAGCCCAATACCAGCAGGACTTAGAGACTCCAGAACCTGCCATGTGCATGGAGAGACCACAGCACTTCACTCCAGGTGAGGAAGGAGACAGAACCAAACTCTTCCTTCAGACTCCTGCTATCCTCTGTCTGACAGTTTCTCCCTCTCTGATGGCTCCTCTACCACATGAGGGCACTAGGGCCCTAAGGGTGACCCATGAGATGTGGCCCCTCCCAAGCCACTCCACCAGGTGGGGGCATCTCAGTGTGTGCCAGTCTCCTTCTCAGGAGAGTTAAAACACCAACCACAACATAAAGTCACATGAAGGCCGCCTCCACTTGCCAAATAAAAAAGACAAAAGCAAACACACAAACACAAACCAAGAAGACATAACACAATGTGAGGGGCCCAGAGGCCCCAGCAGGTCTCTGGCTTCCCGGCATGATACATTCTTGTGTAATTCAGGAACAGGGACACAAGGGCCCCACTGGGGAAAAGGAGTAAAAAAATACAGAGATTAGTCTCCCTGCCAGCTCCCGAGCAGGACAGGGGCAGACCCAATCTCAGTTTTCCCGTTTTTTTGGTTCCACACGTGGTTCCACACAAGGCAGCTTTCCATGGGCTACAGCCCTGCTCTGCCCTTGGGGCCCACTCTCTCTATCTCTCCAAGCTGGTGAGCCATCAAGGCAGTCCAGCAGGGGAAGGAGGACCAGCAGTTCCCAGAAGCTGGTCCTGCAAGCTCTGGTTCCAGGCACAGGCTGTCCCAGTCCAGGTCTTCACCCCTTGAGGGGCTTATCAGCCCCTCCACCACCGGGACTGCTGGCACTGTCACTTTTCTTCCTGCGCAGGCTCTCGATCCAGCTGGAGCTGGAGCGTGTGGTGAAGCTAGAGAGGGCGAGGGAGCTGAGCCGCATGTTCTTGCCAGACATAATGAGCTCCCCGAAGCCTTCCTGGTGGGAGAAGGCGTAGCCCGAGCGCCGGGAGCCAGTGCGGCCCACCCGCCGCATACAGCGGTGCTGAGCCTTCTGCTTCTTCCTCACCAGCTGTGTGTAGCGGACCTGGTCAGGGGCATGGGAAATGAGAGTCTTTCAGTGTCGGCCTGGCAACATCAGGCACAGCCATGGGGCAGGAGCCCAGAGCACCAGGTGGGCAGAGCAAGGGAACAGGGGCCCAGGGGAGAGCCAGCACAGGAACTTCTGGGGCCGTGTGGCACAGAACAGAGGGCCATCACAGCCCAACCAGAGCTGCACAGCACACAAGCAGAGCAAGTCTTTCCTGCCACACTGCAGCTGTCCCCCAAGGCCTACAGCCAGCTTTGCCAGGCCAGGCTTCTCACCGTGTCAGAGAGATCCGGCTTCAAGCTGAGCCTGAGGAAGCGGAAGGCAACCACCGGCATGATGCAGACAGCTGTGGTGAGCATGATGGTGAGCCACACAGTGGGCTGGGCCAGTGTGTTCTGGGCATTCCCTGAGGGCACAGGAGTCATGAAGAAGACAGCAGGGCAAACTCCTCACTATTTCTGGTGGTTGCATGTTCCTAACCTCAAAACCCAAGCCACCTTTGACTTCCCTCATCTCTGCCCGTCCCCTAAATCTTATCTCCAAATGTGACTCTGGTCTCAAACTGTCCCAAAACTCCAGAGCTGACTCCTCACACACCTTAATTGGTATCTCTGTAGAACACCCAACAGGTATCTTGGAAGCTCAATGTGCTGTCTCTTCCACCCCAAACCTATATCTTTCTCAGCTAGAGAAATGTTACCAATCATCTAGCCCAAAAACTAGAAATCCTGCCTCCCACCTTACTCTTCCTGATGGCTCCATTTTCTTTTTTTAAATGTTCTGTTTTCATTATTTTTAAATGTATCAGTGTATTGCCTGCATGTATGTAAGTGCACCCATTTCATACAATGCCAATGAAATCAGAAGAGGGCTTCCATGTGGGTGCTAGGGATCAAACCTTGGTCCTCTGCAAGAACCACCAGTGCTCTGAACCACTGAGCCACTTCTCCAGCCCATTGGCTCCATTTTCTAAATATCTAAGGATCCCACATTTCACTAAATCCAAGAGCACAAGTCCTACTTGGATTCCTAGTAACTGCACTCCCTGTTTCCCTGGGGAGCCCTCCACTTGATTTTCCACAAATGGTAAAAGTGACCCTTTAAAAACAAACTGAAACTAGTCATGGTGGCACACGCCTTTAGTCCCAGCACTTGGGAGGCAGAGGTCAGCGTGGTCTATATAGCAAGTTCCAGAAGACCTGGGGCTACAGGGAGACCTGCTTCAAAAAGATCAAAAACAACAACAATAAAAAAAATAGAAATTGTGCTAAGCCTGGGCTAGGGAGACCTTGTCATTCATAAATTAAGTAAGTAAAGTAAGTAAAAATGAATGAATAAATAAATAAATAAATAAAATAGAAATGGATGCCAGTTGCCACGGCACACGCCTTTAATTCCAGCACTTAGGGGAGGTAGAGCAGGTAAATCTCTGTGAGTTTGAGGACAGCGAGGACTACACAGTGAGACCTTGCCTCAAACAGTTTGTTTATAAATACTTCCTTGTTCAAACCCTCCGATGCCTTCCTATCACAACTATAAACCTTTATTTTTGCTCTGCTAGAGCTAGAAGCCAGGGTCTTATGCATGAAGAGAAGCACTCTGCTGAGCTATGCTCCCAACTCATCTTCCTTCCTTCCTTTCCTTTTTTATGTATATGAGTGTTTTGCCTACATGTATGTAAGGGCACCATGTACATGCAATGCCCAGAGGTCAGAAGAGGATGTTAGACCTCATGGAACTGGAATTACTGATGGGTGCCGGGAACCAAACGAGTCCTCTGCAAGAGCAGCCAGTGCTCTTAACTGCTGAGCCATCTTCCCAGCCTCTCTTTTTTAAATTTATTTTATTTTATTTTATTGGTCTTTCTGAGTCAGGGTCTCCCTGTCACCCCAGTTGTCCTGGAACTGTAGACCAGACTGGCCTCAAACTCACAGAGTTTCACCTGTCTCTGCCTCCCGAGTGCTAGGATTGAAGGCGTGCACCACCATGCCGGCTCTTGTCTCTCTTTAAAGACAGGATCTCATGTTGCTCAGGTGGGTCTGACACATGCTATATAGCTAAGGATGACCCTAAACTGATCTTCTTACCTCTACCTTTTTCTTAAACTGATGGGATTACAGGCATGTGCCACTACATCTTTCTGGAGCAATCTTTTGAAAAGAATAATCTTTTGACACCATCTGTCTTCTCTAAATAAATGAAGGCTTCTAGAAAAGCAAAGCTCGCTTGACAGCCTGGCACTTGGAGACCTCTCTCCCTTCTCCCTCTGCCTCCCGAGAGTGGCTCTTTGCCCCACCCTAGCTGAAGCCCTCTCTAAGAATCAAGTGGCACTTTCACATTCCTGCCTTTGCTTACTAACAGCAGCCTCCTCTGTGGGACTATCCCTGGCCAACCCACTGGCACTGTCTTTGCTGACCATGAAGTCTGCCATCCCTGGTCACCACTCTCATGAACACAGACAGAAGCTCCTTGGGGACAGGGCTTGGGCCAGCTACTCCTTTATCCTCTACCAAACCTTGGAAAGTACTAGCCTCTCCCTTGTTGGTCCTAAAACAGCTCTGACTCCACGCTGATTCAAAAGCAACCATACTTACCAACAAATCGGAACTGGTTTGGAAACATGTCAAAGAGCCCATTGCTGTGCATGGCAAAGAGGATGGCAAAGTAAACAGCTAGGCTGCCCCAGATGAAGAAGTGGTTGATGGCTGTCCAATAGCCAGTATCCAGCCCAATCTGCAAAAAGTAGTTATGACAAACAAGAGCATCCCCAAACCCCCTACCCCACCCTCACAAACAGGGCTGTGATGGTGAGGGCTGCTCCAAGGATGAAAGGCTCACTCCTTCCTGAGTGAGAGCAGCTCCCGGCCTCATACCTGCACACTGACCACAATAACCAGTGATGTGGCCACAGTGACTGCGAAGGACTGGTAGTCTGCCAGCTGGGTGCCGTCATGCCGCGTGGCCTCTGCAAACACCCCATAGGGAATGAAGAACATAAGAACTGAGGTGTAGATGCCCTGGGCGATGCAGATGAAAAACTCCCGCTTGTTGAAGAGGAGGTTCAGCTGGCCTGGCTCATACAGTTTAGGGTACTCCATGCTCCGCTGCTCCGGGACATCCTGTTGAGGGAAGAGTCTCAGAAACTCCTGTTTTGACTCCAGGGGTCAAGGACAGCCCCTGTCCCTAGCTCCTTCTTTCTGAAGTCTTTGACAGCAAAAACAAAGCTCAAACCGGCTTCTCCCAACCAATCTGTGTTCAGTAACCCAGGGGAGTCATAGGTCCTGGGGTCAAGACAGAGAGAAACCCTACTCCCTCCCTAACTGGAGGTGCCCACAGGCAGTGGATATACTGCTCCAAACCCACTACACCAACCACACTTTCACAGTTGTGCCCTCACCATCCTGCTTGGTCACCAACCCCCCCGTACCTGGTCAAAGACCCCCATAGCCAGGACAGGGAGGGAGGTGTACACGATGTTATACAAGGTGATGAAGTACTGGTCATACACAGTCTGGAAGAGAATGGGCGAGAGAGGACTGAACACACAAAGACGACACTTGTGCAACATCTAGGGAACCATAAGCAATTTTCTTGAGCTTTCTCCATTCTCAACACTTTTTTTTTCTTTGGTCTTTTTGAGACAGGGTCTCCCTGTAGCCCCAGCTGAGGAAGGAGAGAGAGAGAGAGAGAGAGAGAGA